TTTTTTTTTTTTTCCATTTTTTTCTTTTTTATGTTATTTCAAAGGGAATTTCTGCTTGGAAAACTAGTTCAGAACAGGAACACGCAAACACACACACTGCAAATGCCCTAATGTTATCTGCATAACTCGCAGGTATGCAATTAACAAAAACAAAGAGGGAGGAAAGAAAAAAGGAGTGTTTCTCCCTTTCACCCAAAAGTGCTGCTTCAGGGGTAGGAGTGGGGGTTAGGAGAGGGAAACAAATTTGGAGATTTACAAAAAAAAGAAGTAAATAATATGTGCTGGACATTGGAACACGTATGTACACGCAAACACAGAGCAGTGTGTTCTCAAGCAATTCTTTCACCACTTTTCAGTGCATAAACTATTAACACCCAATGGTGCAAACTGCACAGTCATTAGAAAACAGAATGACAGTTGGGCCTGAAGCCCAAATGAAAAGGAGTCATTCAAAATTAACTTCTAAAGGTGATTGTGTTCTGCTTTAGGACCATAGGTCACTCTTCCCCAAGCATTTGTGTGATATGAGAATCAAAGAAAGATTTTCAATCCTACTAAGATTCAGTGGGGTTCCCATATCACTGCAGTTGCTTTTGAATATTTCAATAACCTAAAACTATTTTCTGTAACAACACTTCACAACTGTTGTTAACTGATTGGTCAAATTTATTCCTGGTGCAATTTCAGTGACTCGTGAATGAAAGAAATGGAACTGCACTATGGAAGAGTTTGGTCAGTGGTGTAATATAACATAGCACCATTTAGTCTAATGCCACTTTAAATAACATTTTATCATGACCTCACACATGCAAGTTGCAATCCTGATACAAAAATGTCAATCTGACATGAATGAGTTACCTACCACATTAGTCACACTCTTATCCTTTGAACAAAGTAAAACTATTTTTGTGGCCGGAATTTATTTCTGTATGATGCCAGTCGATACAAGAAGTATTTCAAGATGCAAGTACAAACAAATATTGACTTATGTGCTGTGGACAGGAAAACCTGAGCTAGAAATAAGGATTCCCAGCAGGCTTATATAAACACAGGTTATAAGAAGTCTAAGACTGGTCGCTCTCTTCATTTTAAATAGAAGCATCCTACCTATACCAAGTATAAATACAATGCAATACAATTCCAATACAAAGGCTCCTCAAATATGAACTTGATATGCATGAACTGACTACACTCATGCTCACCCATGAGTATTTTCCAGTCGCTATTTTTCCAGCAGCATACCACTGAGTGCAAATTTTCATACGGCTACTTCTAGGTTTTTGCTTGGCTGGCGTCTTTTCTTACCAGGAGACCTGAAAGTGCTGAGAAGCCATTTCTTAACTCTCATTTCATATTAAGGAGCACTTTTGTATAGAAAAAATATATTATTGTATCAGCAACAAATTTGTTAGTGTAATTATAAATGGCCTTTGTATCACACAGTGTCAAAAATAATATTGATATGTTGCTAATTACAATAAAAGAGAACATCAAGGTGCACCATAGAGCTTCCTATGACAGGAATGTATGTTGTAGATATTCCAGCTCAATGTTAAGACAACAAATGGCATTTATCATGTTTGTGAAAATGGTCCCACAAGGAAATAAATGTGATTCCTCCATTCAGTAGGACCTCACCAATACAGCGTCAGGGAGACCAGTTACAGCTTATTAGTAAGTGTGCAAACAAAGATTGTATTAAAAAAGTACTGTGTAAAATGTAGTATACTTTTTGTTTCCTAAAATCATTAGTTTCCTAAATTCATTCACATTAATATTAATTCACAACATTTCAGAATGCCACAGTAACTGCAGCATTATATACTTAAGTAATGCTGAGATCTAAACAGTATTACACCTGATGCACTCTTATTACACTCTTATTACATTGCTCTGAGAACTGTGAAAAGAAAACCAGTTTTCTTGAGCAGATTGGAAGGCTTTTGGATTAATGAGGTTCTACTGTAATGGTAAAAATAACATTTTTCTCTGATGCTCACATTTGGGCAGACCCAATCATGTATTAACAGATGGATGATTTGCACTCTACATTCTGTATTCTTGAAGTGGGAGTAAAAAAAAACCACAGAATTTTCATCTCCCCAGCAACTGCCCGTGCTTTATCCCTTTATAATATTTTCCTTTTAGGTGTATAGGGCCCCCAGATTATTGTTTTTCTTCTCTGCTGTAATGGTGGCTCACACATATGGAATGCAACTATAGTCCTAAATTTAAATACAGTACTGGATAAATACTGAAGATCACTTTAAAGATGCAGTATCCCTTTAAAAAATGCCTTTTTGCTTTCAAATTTCTAAAATGTAGAGTAAGAGGTCTACATTCCTTTCAGGAAAAAAAAAAAAAAAAAAGTAGTGCTTAAGAATGACTTTAAGTGACAAAATTCAGATGTTATTTTGAGTAGCTCACATAAAAGGAAAAATAACAGATAATCTAATATTCAATCAATACACAATTAGAATCTTTCCTTATTGAATCATCATAAGGATGCATCAATTTTAGGCCACAGAAAGGCTAAAATATCCAGAACTATTACATACATCTGACCCTATATATATTTGGGACTGACGAACCAAGTGGAAAGATTAGATAGACAAATACAAATAAAGAATATTTGAGTAGGAAACAGGAAAAGAGGCTTCTAATCCCCAGTAGAGAAGTTACTTTCTCGAGACTCTACTGAAGGCAACATGATTCCAGTGCTGGTCTCACTAACCCATCACAGATATGAGTCTTTCTCAAGGAATCAAAGAGAAGAGATGATAAGTAATATTTCAATTCTATAATCTCCAGCAGGCACGTGAGGAAACTCCTCTAATGATCTAAATTCCTTATTTTTTGCTAAGTGAGGTGACTATATTTTAGCTCTAGACAGTAAAAGTTTTAAGAAAACAATTCAATTAGCAGAAAAACTGCAAAGTAACTGAGAGGCTACTATGACCAATGTGCACACCTTCCCACTGCCTTACATGAGATGGGCAGTTGGCATGCAGTGTGCAGTTCTGCATAGTACTCCACTTCTCGTAGAGTTAATTTTCCACTGATCTTTAACCTGTAGCTTCTATCAACAATTAAAGAAATGGGGGAAAATGTGCTGCACTTTGTGCAAATAAATAGGAGCTAGAAATGCCATGCAAAAATGCCTTTTTTTTTTTAAATCTTTTTATACACAGCATGAATGTTCATAGAAGCTTCGGTGGCAAAGTTCTCAGTTTTTTTAAAACTAGTCCTACAGGTTTTCTCTTCTTTCCTGCAAATGGCACTTAGGCCAGAATAACTGAATTCTGAAAGCACCATGAGGGGGAAAAAAAAATAACAAAAATAAACAGCCAAACAACTAATTGCAAACTGTTAATGGCCTAAACTGTTCCATCCCTCCATTCCTCTGCCCTGTTCTCCCGCGCTGACAAGGGATACTGCATCTTTGTCCCAGTCTCTACCGTACAACCAGGCAAGCTACACACAGTTTGGAAGGCCCTATGCAGTCATCATGACAGAAGGCGCCACAGCCTTTGCACACGATCATGGCTTTCAGCCTGCAAGAGCATTTCAGTTCCAGTTCATCGGCATTGCTACTGTCAGCAAATTTCTGAACCGGCATCTGCGCGTTCTGGTTAGACAGGCCCGTGGCAGCGTTCGAGCCACTTCCTAGCATCCCAATCGATTTCTCAATTGCAGATGCTGCCCTTTTGAAGCTTGTGCTACCAAAGTGTATTGTTGGATAACTTCCACAGAGCTGCTGCTGTTGCTGCTGCTGCTGCTGTGGCTGCAGGTGCTGCGTCTGTATTTTTGGAGCAGCAAGTTGGGTAAAAGGCTTCTGTGGCTCAGTGAGTAAATAGGAAGAGAAATCTGCATTCTTTAATGCAAATGCTTTTAACTGTTCTTTCACTTCGTTCTGATCATAGGAAGCTTGTTTCATGCCCAGTTCGCAGCTGCTGCTTAAACCTTCCTCAAAAGAAACAGGTTCAGATTTTATATTGCTACAGATGCTTGCTGGCTGAGGCCAACTAAGTCTTTTTGTGGTTTCCATAGTAACTGTCGGTTGTTTTTGATCAGAGGGGACATCTACATTTGGGTGAGGAGGGGGAAGAGGAGGCAGGGGTGGAGGTGGAGGGGGAGGATGCACTAAGGTTTTACTCTGGAGTGTCTGAGAGGCACTGGCAATGTCATCACCTTCCTTAATCTGAATACTGGGGGAAAAGACACTTCCTAGCCTCAGCTGGTGAGCTGCTGTAGAAATATTCCCATCTCCCAAGTTCTTCTGTTCCAGGTGTCTGCTAAAAGTAAACGCATTGCAGCCAGGTGGGCCTTTTGATGTAGCTTGCAACAAAGCTGCCGTGGGAATCGGGCCTCTCGCAGCCATGGACATTTGGTAAAAATGCTGTCTATGTGAGGTACTAGCTTCTGCGTGAAAGCTGCCATTTTTATCAATGTGAAATAAGCTCTGCTGGAAACTGCACGAAGGCAATGGCCTCTTCTGCTGCTTGATCTCTGGGCTGTGAGCGATGCGGCTCTGAACTGCATGTTTGTTCAGCCACTCTTGTTTAAATGGCTGCCCATGCCCTAGCTGGTTCATGCTGGAACTAATTACACAAGGAGTTGCTTTAACATCACTGTCCATTGACACCTTCCCAGGCTCGCATTTAATTTGAGCGTGTTCCCCTATAGTCCTGGCCATCCTCTTTTTTGGATGGTTTTCGCGCTTTCTGATTTGTAGCGGGGCTATGCCGCCTGCTGTAAATCCTTTACCATCTGGGTTAGGAGAACTGGAAGGATGCTCAACAATATTTCTCTCGGACACTGCTGTTTTACATACTGAGGTAGTTTGCAAAGGCAAGGGGAGCCTGCTAATTTCTAGTTTGGCTCCTGATCTGGGCTGCGGCAGCACTTTCTCTAAAGGCAGATTGCCTTGCAGTAATTGTGTCACTAAAGGATTGTTGGCCTCCACTGACGAGAGGCGACAGCTTGAGCCCCCAGCACTCGTAACTCTTTTGAGGGTTTCTGTTGTCAGGGACAGGGAGTCATCCATGGAATCCGCAATGGGTGCCTTGGCGGCCTGCGCTGGCTGAGCGCTTGGGGCTATTTCTGAGGACTGGGCTGCCATTTCAGGACCTGTGAAATCCTCTGTGTCCATCCTGAAGCACTTGTCAGACTCTTTAGTTTCAGATTTAACAGGAACAGCAAGGCTTGTCAAAAGACTCCTGGACTGCAGCTCTGACATTTGTGTGTAACTGGAAGGTTCGGTTTTGACACTTTTTAAGCAGTTTTGTTCTGCATATTCCTTATGCTTACTGGCGTTAAGATGGCTGACCACCGGCTGGTCTGTGCTCATTGCCTCTTCATCATGCCAACAAATTCTATTGTTAGTGCTATACTGACTGACACAGGCAGCATCTGCTTCATTTTTAAATGCTGAAGGACCTCTTAACTGCTCAGAAAAACCTTGGCTGGGAGTAACCACCTCAATTAATTTATCCTGGGGAGCAAGAGGCACTTCTCGAAGACTTGAACAACCTGCCTGCAAGTTCTTGCTGTCTTGCTTTGCTGTAATGTTGATAAAGCTGGAACTGTGCTCAAGGCTTTCATTAGAGACTACTTCAGGCCTGCTTATTACAGACACCTGAGAACAGGCTATACTTTGTAAGGCAGCTTCTGTCCGTACAGGTCTGCTCTGCAGGTCAGTGCTGTTCTCTGCATTTTCAATTGAAGAAGAAAGCGACAGACTGGAATTCAAATTTGTAGTGTGGTCAACAATGACTTTGCAAGGTATAGATCTATTCATGGCAGTTTGTGTATAGCTCACTGGCTGAGATTTACCCGAGAGATCCATTCGGTTTCGTGCTCCAGAGCTTTTGTCTAAGAGATCAGCATTTAATTTAGTAGCATTATCGTAGGAGCTTATTGTCACCATGTTACCAGTAAACATTGAAATGGGTGGCCTTGAGACAGAATCTGCTACTGCAACAGCCTCACTGCAACTTAAAGCTGACCTGACGGTAGTGTGGATGGAGACAGTGCTTTGCTCATTACACCCTGTTATGGCTATCTTATCAGAAGAAAATCTGTTGGTAGTCCCCACTGGGGGAATCAACACAGAACTACCAGAGAGATGATTTGGCAAGTTATTTGGAATGGATGAAGCTGGCACAGTGGCATAATGACTGGAGACTGCATTATTTGCATTGCTACTTGGTATTGGCAACCTTTTGTCATCGACGGCATTTGATAAGACTGTACTGTCTATGGAGACCGGTACGTTACTGTTATCAATACATTTTGGTCCAACGGCTATGCATGGAGTATCAGCCCCTTGGATGGATTTCAGCATTTTTATATTACAAGCTGAAACTGCTGTGTTCACACTGTCAACAGACATTAAAACAGAGGATTTATCAACAGAACTTGCAAAAGAAAGTTCTTTAATTGCTCCAGACATAGCAGTGCTGCAAACAGACACAGAGACTGAACTTTTATTATAAAGCACTGGCACACTGTTACTTTCAGTAGAGGTAGATGAAATAATTTTCTCACACAATTGTGGCATAGGTATATTCTCATCGGAACTGTGCACAGGTATCTCAGTAGCAGTTTCTGGTAATGTAGCTGTGTTAAGTGACTGCTGTAATAAAGTGGTAGTCTCACGGTGATGAACAGATTTGTTGCTAGGGGACCTGCAGTTAGGATTAACTATAATGACACCGGTAGAACCTTCAATCTTTGTATCAGTAGACGCTGATACTTCTAGAGATGAGGTACTTTCCTTTGAGTTGAACTGTGACTTTGATTCTTTATTAGTCTGGAGTAAATGAGCTCTGGCTTGATGCTTTGCAAATAGCTTGGCCTTTGTTTGCTCCTTGATGTGTGCCAGCGTTCTTGTCTTCCCACCTTCGCATGGAGTCCCCATTGCTCCAGAGACAATGCTTGCAGCTGCTGCCACAGCTGCTGCAGCTGCTGCTTCTCTTTGGGCTCGTGCTTGTTGAGCTCTTGCTTTGATATCTGCAAGAGTTCTAGCCCCAGTGTTCCTTCCACTGCTGACCGATGTACTTGCGGAAACTCGAGGTTCTGGTTTTGAAACAGGTTGGCTCTTGATAATAAAAGGTGGTCCAATTTTTGAAAGTTGAATCTAAAGGAAGAAAAGAAAAACAATAATTTGAATCAGATCAACAACTTTAGTTAGTGTCACTTGTTGTCTCTTAAAAGGGTCAGAACAAGGTGATGAAGGGAATTACTGTTCAGTGCCACTGGACAGAAAAATGCTAGAAAGTAACGATGTTTACACTGCATTATTTTCTCGTTGTCCAGCAGCACAAACTGACACCTGTTTTAGCCTACTCATGCTGCTTTCTTGACAGGAAGAAAGACATGAACTGGAGGGCTACATGATGCTTATCTGACACAATTTGTCAGTTCTGTTCTATCTGCAGTGCGTCTAACTGAGAAGATGAACAGGCCTAGTGCAATAATATTGTGAAAGTACTAAGCATTTGCTACAAATACGTGAAAAAATAACAACTGTGCAGTGCTTTTGCTCCTCAGCCTCCAGTGACTAAGCCATTAGGAACAGCCTGTATTCCCCTTACGTACCAGGTAACAAATCTTGCCTTTAGACAGGATGTAGAAGTAGCCACCAGTACAACCACTGAGCTTGTTTTTCACATTATATCACAGAGCACTTTAGAGTACTATAAAAGAAGTGAATCACCAAGGATACATCTTTCTCATCCTCAACTGGAATTTTAAGAGACTCACTTTAGTACATCCCTGGAATACCTCCTACACTACTGCGTTTCAAAAACGAAAATCTCAAGCCTTCAAATATTAAAAGTGCAAACAAGACTTTAAATACCAAAACCTTTAAGCAAAGTAATAATCTCTAGGATCACTATGATTATTTGTATGTTTTCCAATTAAGCACACCTGGTTTCAGGATTAGAGATTAGAAGTCCTGGAATCACATTGTAACTTGTATACTCTCTTAGAATGCCCAAAGCCTGGCAAAAGAACATTTCATTTTTTTAAAAGGGACATAAATTTACTGACTGTCCACAGTAATAGGATTTAGTGTTTAGTGCTATCACTTCTTTCCTGAGAGGAGCTGGAAAAAAAAACCTACGTAGTATTATTTCTAACAAAAGTAGTCATAAGGTATGACAGCAAGTGAAAGCCTTATCAGATTTAGGAGAAAGGAGGTTCTTTCCTCTCTTTCAATAACAAGCAAAGTGGTTTGTTGGTGAGATAACCCACAAGCAAATAGTTTTTACACAAAGAACATCTTGAAATGATCGTTCAAAATTATTTTTGAAAATGCCTGCCAAGTTTTAATATCCTCATTCACTGCTTGGAGCCATCAGGTCTTGTTTGATATGACTGTGCAAGACTGACGGTCTTCAGACAGCCCATCTGATGGACTCACATAGAGGGTTGAAATATTTCACTCTTCCTAGCAGTTAATGCCAATAAACACTCATCGAAAGGTGAATTCTAATTTTGTTTATCCCTCTTTGGCATATTACATAAGAAAGAATGTTAATATTTGTAACTAAAGCCTTTCATCATCAGATTTCTTCCTCTGTTGTTGAATAGATCAATTAAAATTTATATTAACATACTTTAAGGAGTACTGCAAACTCACAATTAATTGAAAACATTTTGCTTTCTTTGTCAGTAGCTTTTTTTCCCCCCATTTTCCACTTTGAATCACCAGAACTGCTAAAGCTCTAAGTGCTTGATTATTTTTACTATTATAGCCATGACTTTTTTTCTTCCCTAGTGATCTACATTCTTTTGGCTATAGAGAATGATTAGAATTTATTACTCTAGATAAAGACTTTCCAAATACGAAAGAATATCAGTAAAACTCAGAACAGGCTAACTTCCAATTGCATCACTGCTCATAAAAATAAATTAGTTGAAATAAGCTGCCGCACCAGTGATTAAAACAGTTAGCCTATTTGCCCTCCTGGCCATATTAACAATTTTCAGTGATTGCAGAAGTTAAAAATAAATGCAGAAAAGAGCATTTATGAATAATCGGGAACTAGTATTACAAAGTCAGTGGCTTAAGTTCAGCAAATTGGATCTAAAACTTGGCTGATGCCATCGTGTAGAAAACTAAAAGGGTCAAAACACTGGGACTATATATAACTAAATCAAGAAATCCCTTTGTTAGGAAAAAAATGCTTCTCAAGTGAAATATGTGTTCTTACATAGTATAAAGACACCTTTAAAAGAGCTTAGTTAGAGTACCCTTTTTATCTTTTGCTTTGCCTTCAACAGATATTTATACATACATCAATTTATACATACATCAAAGACACTTCCTCCAGATAGCAAGCTCTGTAGTTTTCACTACAAAATTAATTTGTACTTATACTTCAGCCTATCCCAAGCCCTGGACTTGCAATGGGATCTCCAACTACTCTGACTTTAGGTTCTCTTGATAGATTAAAGCACAGATTGTTTTTCTCAGTAATGGCTATGGTTTATTATTCATGTTTCCTGGAGAACTCATCTGTGGGAGAACAAGTGGACAATACAATTGGCAATTAGAAAGAAAAACAAGCAGCACTGAACGTGGAAGCTCTTTAATCAGATTAAGCCAAAGATTCTGGAAAACTTAGTCTCACACAGAGGCACTCTGTAGCAAAGACCCTGACTGAACAACAACAGGTATATTTACATCAGATGTAATTTGGCATGGTAGGGATAGTAAAGCAAAAAAGTTGGCACTTAGGTCTCTTGCACCTATACAAAAATTCACTATGCTTTGGGTCTGCAGGCAGTCAGCAGAAGGGAAACAGTAAACCTTCAGTTTCTTAGCATTGTTTTCATTACTTTACCTTAAGGGGTGGAACTCGGGGTTCTTCTCTGAGTGGCTGATCTTTATCAGATGGACTTGTTGACGAAGCACTACGATTAGGCTGATCATCATCTATCCTAGCTCTCTTCTCTTTGCAGATTCCAAAACTGTGCTGTTCTGCTGTTTTCCTCTTTGGAATCTCTGGGTCTCTGCTTTCATTCCTCACTTCAGGTGATTTTGTGGTTTCTAATGATTTGGAGGAATGTGAACTCTCTAGTCGACTTTGGGTACTGCCTGTTAGCTTATGAGACTTACTTCTGCACACTTCGGAAAACGAAGATTTATCTAGAGATGAGGTATATAGCTTTTCATGTTGCTTTGATGGAAACAGTTCAATATTTTTGCCTATTGATCCTTCTGGTAAGACAGCTACCTCTGAAGGCAAGAGAGTCCCTTTCTTCTCACCTCGTTGATGAATACTGTGATTTTTAATTTTGATCACCTCTGGAGGGGAGGAGTGTTCTGGGATGGAAGAAACGTAGGATTTCTCAATTTCAGAATGTGACTTACATGGCTGATGACAAAGGCTTTTGCTCTGGGGCTCTTCCAGTGCTGAAGTATCAGGTAAAATTTTCAAATTTTCAGGTGCACTCTGAAGTTGCTTTGGTTGAACAACAAGATTATCTTCATGAACCACCTTAGGAATGGTGCAGCTTTCTTCTTTTAAAGTAGGGAGTGACTCTTCTGACAGACATGGTGATTTCCTTTGTTGCAGAATAAGTCTTTCATTGCTTGGGGAATTTGAAATGGGAGATGTTTCTGATGGAAGAGGCAAACTATTTGCCACAGATGTTTCAGAAGTCAGAAGGACAGAAGATACTGAAGATGTTTCTGATGTTATAGGTAAATCAGACATTGGAGATGTTTCTGATGTTAAAGGTAAATTAGAAACTGGTGATGCCTCTAATGTTAAAGGTAAATTTGACATCAGAGATGCTTCTGAAGTTACAGGTGAGGTGGACATTGGAGAGATTTCTGACATTAAAGGTGTATGCAAGTTCTCATCAGTGGCCTTTTGCTGAATATCACCATCAGTGTTTTCAGTACTGGACACTTCAGATGAACAAGCTGTTTCAAGAGATGCTGGGGTACAGGGCTCCTCTGAAGTTGACTGAGTGTCTCCTCCAGGAGATGCAATACAAACACATGGTCCTTCTGGACTTCCAGAGGAAAAGGAAGTCTCAGAAATACAAGCATTCTCAGATGATTGTTCCTCAGGGTCACTTTGAAGCTCCATATCCACTGCAATGCCCCCACCAGTGAACAAAGAGCCCTCCAGAGCAGCATTTTGCATTTCTGGAGCAATTAGTTCTTTTGCAGACTCAGAATCCTTCTCTGCTGTATCACTGACAGAATTTGCGGATGAAGCTGATCGTGCTGGTGATACACAATCCTCCAGCTGATCTATCACAACAGACATCTCCTCCTGAGGGCATTCTGACTTCAACTCCACTTTCATTTCAAAGTGAGATGCAGTATCAGTTACATCATTCATCATGACACAGGACTCAGCATTGTCTGCAAGCTGCACTGCCTCTGTTTCTTCATTTGTTCCAGATGGACTTTCTGACTCCTCAGAAAACTCCTGTTCTGTTTTGTAGTTCTCCTCCTGGCATTCACAAATACTTGTCTCAACCTCTTCAGCAATCTCCTCCTGAATGATTGATTCCTCAGGTATCAGTATATCCTCTGTCTCTGCCACTAGATTCTTGACAGGAACCTGCTCCATATTACAAAGAGATGAACTGTTATCTTTCTCTGGTAGTGCTGGAGTTTTAGTGCCTTTTTGTTCATGTTCCTCAAAGGTTGCTTGCTTAGAAGAACCAGGTGTGCCAGAAGATCCACACAAAGAATTGCTGTCATCTTCATCGTTGTTCTGTGTTGTAGTGAGTTTCAAAGATTCCCCTCTCGACATTCCCAATCTAAAACAAACAAACAAACAAACAAAATAATTAAAAAAGGTTTTTTCATCAAAGACATGGTAAAGAAATAGAATCTCCTTTCTCACTCATGTCTTCCATTACAAAAAAAGGACACTGTTCAGTTTAAAATAGCGGTTTGGCTAAGTGGTGGTTGACTAATTTGTATAGTTGTAGATATGGCTTTATATGTTTTGGAAAATGAATTACCCAGCTTGCCTTAGTAGTGTTAAAAAGTTAAATATTTTAAAAATAAATAAGCTATTCCTTGTTATTTAACTATTCAGCACTTCAACAAAAACACACACACACATACACACACACACACAAAAAAAACGCCACAAAAAAAGCAAGTTATATAGATTCACAACTACTCATATATATATATTTAATATCAGCCCAAAACTTCAATTCTAACACTGCCAACAATACGGAGGAAATGCATAATTGCACCTTCATAAGTCAGTAACAGTTCTAAAGGAAATTCATTTTTTCCTCCTCTACCTGCATTTAGGGTCAACACAGTCAGCACTGTGGCTTAAATGCTGTGTGAAAATGAAAAAGCTGCATCTAAAACAAGGAAAACAAACGAGGCATTTCAGTTTTGTAATTCCACAATCATTTCACATTTATCATGAAAATCAAAATCGTTCTGCTTCAGTCTCATTTTACTAGTCAAGCGACCAGCTGACAGCTTGTGTGTTTCTGCTCCATTCTTTCAGCAAACTAAATATTCATTTAGGATAAAAATTATTTCTAAATAAACATTTCGGTGTATGTGCTCTTCAATTGATTTCACAATAATTAAAAATAACATTCCTAAGGAGATAAAAGATATTTATAATGAATGTATTCATTTTCAGGGATGAAGTGCAAAAAACTGCATTCCTTTGTATACTTGTCTTCTGAAGATTCACTTACCTTTGTTCCTGAAACCACACTTTTAATACATTTTTATTGCTTCAACAGAAAAAAAAATCAAAAGAAAAGAAAAGTCAATGGCTGAAAAAAAGTGGTTATTTTTAAAACCTTTTGCTTTTTGACATCCCCATTTCCTGCTATGGACAGCAGGGCAGGTCTTCATGCACCTTTAGATCTTCCAAACAAAATTCGTGCTTGAGCGATTCCACAACAGTAAAAAATACACAAAAGTTTGGTTGGAGGACTTAAAAAGTTGTCATGGTCTTAAGGATCTTAAAATCTAATCAAGAGGAGTTTGATCTGTGTTCTCAGTTTAATCACAAAACAAAGTAACTGAATAACAATATGGCAATAAGTGAGCATGAAAGATATTCAGATATTATGGAAGCAGGAGAACATACCAATGGGCAGCCAGTGGGAAGAGAGATTACAAAGGCCCACGTATATGGAAGAACAGAAAACGTATGGAAAAAAGATGCAATCTGTGATTATGCTTTTAAAAAATACTGATCAGATGCATTATTCACACTGACAGGTGTAAAGAAGAAAATCCACAGCCTGGAACTGGAACCCAAGAAAGCACCCTCAAGGTTGTTATTAATATTACCTACTGCTAGTCAGTTAATATGCATAAAGTGTCTCTGTGCCATCAATGTGTTGTGAGGATCCTCCAGAGAGTAATTCAGAACAGCTATTTTACATTCCCCACACTGAATGCCTTTCTGAAGATATGTCTCTCTTCTATATAGACAATAGGTTCCCTATATAGTCTAAGCTGAAAATCTAAGTTTAGGTGAGTAAAGTTTAGTTTACCTAGGTATACATGAATAAATTCCTTTTCTTGTGTGAATAAGAACAAGTCATCTCAGGAAAATAAAGAGGGAGAAAATACAGTGCATTACAGAAAATGGAACCACTGTTATATTTTCTCTGGCTAGCTGACATCATGGAAGATATTGCATATTGCAAGATATTGCATATTTGTATTTATGGACTGAAAAAACAACAAAGGAATGAACTACACAATAAAGGTCAATGCAACTGCCACATGGGCACTGCACAAATACTCAAGTAATATATTAAAAAGGAAGAAGTATAGAAAAATAAGAATGTAGGATTAAGGTCAGCAGAACACATACTGAATCTCACTCAGTTTTCCAGTTTTGAGCAGTACTGGAAATATCACTATCTTGAAGAAGATATTGCCATGAAGGAAAAAATACTTTCAAAAGAAGAAGGCTGAAGGTCAGGATGTTTAAGGCAATCCCAGATTGCAAGATAAACAGCTGATCTGTCTTTCTCCTTAGAGAAACAGACACACAAACTTTGCAAAAGAGCAGAGAAATACAAGAACAGCAGTAAACAGCCATCAGTGAAAGTGCTGATAAGGACAGGATTCAATTGATAAAGTAAAGACAGACAGTTATCAAATGGTAAAAGACACAACAGTTACTCAAGAATATATTGATGCTGATACTCCAGTGTTGTGATAAGTAGTACTAGAGAAAATTAAAGAAAATTAATGAAGGATTAAATCAGCAATAAAATTTAGAAGTAGTCTGCCCAAAATTAAACCTTTGATTTAGTGAGCTGGCAGTGCCAATCCTGACATGTATCACACTCAGGACTGGGAAAGGAAATAATATATTGAGACAATAGAACATAACCTTTGTAGTCCTAGGGGCATAAGCCAGAAGAATACAAATTTCTGGCAAAACATATCAGCTGATCCTAGATAAATGGCTGCAGAATGAAGTTTCTGTGTTTTAAATTAAGTCCAGGAGAGGGAAATGAACAACATGAGAAAATGGAAAGAGAACATAAATTGATGGAAGTGAACTACAACTGGTAGTCCCATGACTATGGGCAGAGAGATAAACAAACACAAAAAACATAATGCACATAAGTTACATGAAAGAAGCACTCTAAAGCCACTGAATGCCATGTAAAAATGTTTTCTAAAACTCTGCATGTATTAATGATCCTTCTCTAGGTATGAGGTGAAACTTTAATAAGTTATGGAATATTTAAAGATCAAATTAGCTGAAGTCAGAGCAAGATTCCAGATTGGTTGGAAAGCAAGTTAGATTGCAAGAGAGATGACAAATCTGAGAAACAGCTCAGGAAGTTTTCAAAATCTGCTACTTCAGTTGAATCAACACAACTGAAAATGAATGAAGCCCAAACATCTTCAAACCAAGTTTAAAAAAAAAACCAAAAAAACTAAGTCAAAAAAAGGCAAGGAAACAAGGTGAAAACAGCAGGAAAAGTTACCAGAGAGACAGTAAATAATGGGAAGAATAATTACTACAGGCCAAGCAGCAAAGTAGTAGAAGCTGCCTACATATTAACCAAGAAGAAGGATGAGTCAAATAATGTATGTCGGAGAAAGAGCAGGAGGAAACACATTCAACACTCTAGTAAGCAACGGAAATTATGTGCGATATGACATTTTGCATAACAATGCTGATGTCAGGAACCTATCTTCCAAATGACACATATTACTGCAGACTGAGTAATTATATGCCAACCATTACAGTGTCCAGTATTCAGCTAGCACAGCAGGACTGATGGCTCTGTGAAATTCAGAGTATCATTCTCTGTGCATCTGACAGTCATTTGTGTCTTGTCTCCACAACAGTCTTCAAATAGAGCTTTGCTCTTACTAAACTTCTAATTTTGGAAGGTCCTTTGTTAATACATTACACATCCTTTCCCTTCATAAGGAGATGGTAACTGACTTGTCTTGATACACATAATGAAAAGCCCCTACCTAAAAACGAAATAAATACTTTCTGATACTACAGGAATCAATAAATCGAGGTCTCAAAACTTGTAAGTAAAAAATGACGCACTTGACAATAACAAAGTCTGCAATTCTAAGACCATTAGAATCTCCATTATTTTTAAAGATAACATTGTGTAGTAGTATTCACACTTCAAGAAAGCACCTAGAAAGGACTGAAAAATAAAATATTAAAATGTATCTGTCCATTTCCTGTCTTGTTTTCACCACATTTCCCAATAGCCCAAAGCACTGGATTGTGAGAAGTAGAAATGTTACTGCAGAAACACTTCTGCCTTATCTTTAAGTCAACCACTCATATTCAGGTTTTCCAGTGTCTCAGCTTTCTTAAGCAAAAAGCATCTAATAACAATACTAAGAAATCTCATGTGATGTTCCTTTAGCACATTTTGGTTACTATGTGTAATCCATAAATTCCATTTATTCATACATGAAAATAAGAAATTAGTAACTTTTAATTAATTGTTTTATAATGATTAAGATTTTTAATATATATATTTTAAAATTGAAGTCTGATTTAAAAGGTGGACAGATTAACTTTTTAAAAACAAATTTCAAAAGGAAGATTTTATAATTTTTAAAAGACGTGAATCCCTTTGAAATTCTGATTCTTAAAACAGAATTAAGGATTAAACGTTACGCTTCTGCAGAATGCCATCTCTGCTTCAGTCAAATCATGCTGACTCTGCGCAGTGGAACACCTGGAGCAATATCATCTAATTCATTTTAGCCAATTATGGGCATCTATTTATTCTTTGCATCTCACTTCTAAAATTAGACTAGTTGTCATTTTCATATGACTCTATCCAGTATCTCTTCCGCTGTACAGTCTGTGTGAAAGGCCATCTCTGTCAAACACTAAGAAGAACTATTTGATTAAAATTTTACAGCTAGCTTAGAAAAAATGAAAGAAGAAAAACCACAAAGAAATATTTCTACTAGTCTTCTAGTCTGAAGGAGCTATATTTATATTTTGCAGAAAGAACAGACCTAATCTCATCTTTTAAAAGATAATTAAAAAATACTCACATGCTTGAGCCTTGTGTCTTAAGCCTTCCTTGAAATGAATTTTTATGGATGAGTTATGAACCTTTAAAAATGCAATTGTAATGCAAGTGCAGATGTGTCACTATAATTCCACCCACAACTTCTTATATCAGGGAATGATGCCTTTGATAACCACTTTATTAAGTTTTACAGCATATAACTGTGCTATGTGAAGCAGAGAATTATATTTTCATTTGCTCCTAAAAGAAAATGAAAAAAATGGTTTTATTTGCTTCAATACTTACTTTTCACCATAAAACCTTTCAAAGAATTTTTCTTTCCAAGGCTCTGTTTTCTTTTCCTTTTCCATCTCCTGTCTGATACGCAACTGCATTTCTGGAGTAAATTCTCCTAGAAAACAAATACTAATATTTAATAAAAGTTGTCAATGATTAGTTTCATGCATAATTATACATTAAAGCTACACAGACGATGGACGCTGATTTCTGATACGGTCATCCAACAATCTCCAATGAATACACTGAAAAACAAGAGTGTGAAGTAGCAAGACTTGCTTTACCATGTAACTGCACTATTTTGAAACTATATTGGTGGGATTTAGTTACTTGCAATTATGTTTCCAAGGTTTGGCAGTGATGAAAATGCGTTGTTGTCTTTTTTTCTTTCTAACAGTCAGTACAAACTGTCACAGTCAGTTGTGATAATGTAGATTAAATTCAAAATGGAATCAGCAATGTTCACTTTGTTCAATTACGATTGCGTTACACTTTCCCTTGTTAATGTAATCCTCAAATGGAGAAGCAGTGGCTTTCCTCATGAAAATAATTATTCTTTGGTAAATCTGAGAGCAAACAAAAAGTTACCTTCTGCCAAACGTTGTTTCCACCCTTGTGCTGCATACGCAAAGAATTCATTGTTTAGAGCAGAACTACTGAGGCGCAAAACTCCATCACTTCCCATCTAGAAAATAAGCCAATAATAGCAGAAGATACTGTCAGATATAGCGTCAACTAAGATTACATAAAAGTGGAATTCCAATTAAGGGAAGCTGGGACAGATAGAAAGTGGAAATAACAAAGGACATGATCTGCTACCACTAAAACTTGTTTTTTTCATTATAGTTACTGTAAGCACAAGAGGACTAATCCTGCATCAGTGTGCTCTTTTCAGTAGTAATCAGTCTTCACTATTACTAATGATAACTCAGTTTACAACTGACGTATTTCCATCACAGCTCTCTCTGTCTTGAGCTTTTATGCTGTTCTGACAGAAGAGTGGATGATGAGTAACCTTAAAAAATAAGTTAGAACAGCTATACACCTAATTTTACAAGCATCAAAACTGGGGAACATTATAGTTATTTTACTTCTTACATCTGGTTTTACTTCTTACATCACATTCAATGATATAAAACCATTAAAAGTATCAATTGTAATATTTCTGGGATAACTTTAAAAAGCAATCCAAATATCGATCTTCTTTATCATACAACTTGATACTTATTTTCAGTTTCTGCAGATATATTTGACTTTTGAAGGAATTCTAGTAAGTAATTAAAAGAATTCTAATAACAGAAAAACTAAACAAAGAAAACAGATTAGTGGTGGGTCTCATCTCTAGGATAATAAGCAGACTATAAACACAAATTCATACATTTAAGGTTACTAACAGGTAAATAATTGAAAACACCATTTGTAATATAGTACTGAAAAACACCAAATTAACAGCATATTATTGCATATTTTAGATATATAATATTCCCTAACTCACAGCACTTGTTCCAAACCAGAAGCAGAAAGAAGCAGATGTGTCAGAAACACTTCAGGATATTTAAGCATGTTTCCCTCACTGAACATTATCTTTCCCAGACAACGTTGGCCTTGCTTTCAGAACAACCTTTGATAATGTTATCTGAGACAGCCAGCATGGCTTCACCAAGGGCAGATCATGCCTGACCAATCTGGTGGCCTTCCACAATCAAGTGACAGCATGAGTTGATAAAGGCAGAGCAAGTGATGTCATTTACCTGGACTTCTGAAAGGCCTTTGATGTGGTCCTATGCTGCATCTTTATCTCTAAATATGGGTATGAAGACTGAACTATTTGGTGAATAAAGAATTGGCAGAATTTTCTCATTGCCTAGCTCATATACTGTCCCATGATAGCCTCATATGAGTAAAACAGAAAGATGTGTAGAAGGAAAAAGAGAAACAGGCAATGCAAAAGCCATTTGATTACAGACAGAAAACTGTATGTGCATGTGCCCCTCAGCAGGATACACACCTACAGAGCTGCTGACCGTGATCTCCTGCTATATCACAGAATCACAGAATTGTAGGAGTTGGAAGGGATCTCGAGAGATCAAGTCCAACCTCCCTGCCAAAGCAGGCTCCCTGTATGCCATTGTTTTGCCAACAAGTCATAAGACAAGCGTCAATTAAGGTGGATAAATAATGCCTCTGTGCTTCATACAGTGTGGGTTGTGGACTGCATTAATTACAGGGAGACTGTGACTAAAGATAAAAATGGAGAAAAACTGGAAAGAAATGGTGAAATGTGCAGCAGAAGCATCAGGAAACTAAAATCAGTGTGGTAACAGAGAAAGGACAAGAAGAAAATGCACTTATCAGCAGATTGGTATGACACATTATATTCTTTCTACACAACTAAACTTTTTTTAGGAAACACTTAAATGTTTTCTAAAAGAATTAATAAATTAAACTGAGATTTTTAGACGCTGCTGCCTCCTGCAACTGAACAAACACATCAGAAGTTGGCCAAAATCAGCATTTACACAATTTCTTAAAAAGGTAAGATGAGATACTATAAAGAAAAGAATCAAAAGTTACTAAATAATTTTTTGTTTCCTAAAGAGAGGTGCTGAAGCTACCTCAATTTCAACATTAAAGGAGATGAAATATTGACACTCACTCATGTCAGTGTAGATTCTACTCCAAACTTCAATAAACTCAAATTTTCATCCCAAATTCTGACTGTTTTTCATGGAAAGGTAATAGAGACACATTTCTTTATTTAACTTTGTAAAATTGCAGGTTACATCTGGTCTTCCTGAAACCCAACTGCTCAGCTAGTGGCAAACTGTGCATTCATATTATGAGTCAGAACAACAAATCACATAGGAAAGTAATAATTCACATACACTAATTTTCTGTTAAACCAACAAGATGACGCAACTTATCCTAGGGTCATATGATCATTAGATCCCATGCAAGGATGGAATGGACTGCAAGAGGTGGATAGACTAGAATATTGATTTTTTGCAGCAATTCACTTTTAGATTATATGAAATGAAGCCAAATATCATTAAACTATTTCACTAGGCTGCATAAATCAAAAGCATTATGAAGATTGCAAAATTAGAGTACCATATGAATATGAGAAGAACAGCATTAGCTTCATTGTAACTGTGCTTTTGTAAGGGTGTGAGAGAAGCAAGGTTTATAGGAAGAGATGCTGCATCTTTCAGTATATTAGCTAATACAATTGCAAAAAGTGCTAAATTTCTGACAGCATCTTACAAGGTGTGAAAAAGACAATGCAAACTCCAAGATAAATGTTAGAAAGGTTAACTGGACCATGTAACAGAAAAAGACAGGCTGGAACTTCAGAACTGAAATAAAATGTTGGCAGGGTCACAAGTAAAATGTTGTTAGTTCCTGTAGTGTAAGAAAAAGCAATGAGGAATAAGTACTTACAGAAGAAAAAAGAAACAGAACCACAGGAAAAAAAAAAAATAATAGCAGGAATGTGAGAGGAAGACTGCAGTGTCTCACCTATGAACAAATATCCATACATATATGTTGTAAAAATAAAACAACAGATCGTATGGGGACTGCACCTAAAAAAAAGATGCAGGCTGCACTGAAAATATGATGTTAAGGATCAATAGATTAAAAAAAGATGATGAACAAACTTAAGGAGAAGTGGCTGCTGGCCTCATGATTGTCACTGCCTTGATGAACTGGCTGTGGAAGAGCTTTACTGAGATCTATGTTCAGGGCCCCACAGACTTCATGGAAGACTGAAGTAGCTGGAACAGCCAAAACCTAGACAGAAAATCATGTATCATGTAATGATACAGAAGGTGGAAAAGCACTAATTAATTAGAGGAGAAGCTTCCAGTGGTCTGCTATAACATAATATGAAATAAACATTTCAGGTTAAAATGCTATGGAGGAATGTTGAAAGCAGACATCATTACGTAGGCTTGGTACACATTATTTAGGGCAAAAGATAATAAATAAATTCAAAAAGGAGAGATTGACAATTCTAGTCAAATATTATAGGGTTAAACTTCCAAATCCAACAGGATTTGGAATCCCCTTAAATCAACACATAAGTTAACAAATTAATGCAAAGCAGACAAAATTTCTTCTTGAAAAAAAAAAAAAGCAGAAAATATAGAGTTGCCTGTCCTCAGTGATGTGTTCAGAAATTTGAGATCAAAGAAATCTTGTGCTAAGAATGGAATAGGAAGAATGCACTCAGTCAGTTAAAGCTCAAGGAGAAAGGGATGACAACAAAAAAAGCTAAAGGAACTCAATGGCTTGAAGACCTAAAATGAATGAGACAGAAATTTTCAAATTATTTTAAGGAAGCTAGATCCATTACCAAATGAAGAAAAAAAACAACCACCAATTAAACTAAGTTCAATCCTTTATCTATTTTTGGTTCATTTAAAGATTCTAAGCAGAAAAAAGAAATTAAAAATCTGCAACCGAAAATGGACAAGTTTGAGCAGTCACAGAACTAACAACTGTAAATCTAGTTACTAAAAAAAAGCAAAATACCAGGGAATGAAAAGCTTGTCAACAAGAAACAAACATACTAACATAGATACTCTGGTTCTTTCCTCAATAAACTCGTTGTGTGAAGTGAGGCCAACAATTTTTTTCTGCTCTGTTAAACATGAAAAGACCAACAGGTATTCTTCCTACAGGGTTAATTAACATAGCCTATGTTGAAGTCTTATCTCATTGAGAATATATTTTCACCTTACCCAAAAAAATGAAGTGGAAGCTAAAATTTTTAAAGCCAAAGGTTGTATTTACTTCTCTATACTCTGACAAGCAGACAGCTTGTCAGTTAAGACAACTAAGCACTAGGTATAAATTAGAATTTACAGAAACATGCCAAGTGAGCAGTTCTAAAATACACTAGTTTTATGTTATTTAAAAATGTCCAACAGAGACACTGTGTTAATGACCTGGAACAACAAACATTTCTTGAAAAGTTTATGTTTTATTCTGTTGAACTTTAAATTCTGATTAAGCACAATGGTAGAATTATGTCTTAAAACTAATATTTCTATGCAGAATTCATAATGGCTTTAATACGTTCCGCTTTTATATTGAAAGCTAACAAAAAATCACCCAACTAAAAAATGTATCTGCTAAAACTCAACACCTCTTATCAAGGAATTGGGTAATTTTTCTACCAACAGCTATGTAACATTTCTGCTCTATATTTGCTACCTATGCTAGACAACACAAAAGATCACTTCCCTCCCTATAACCTACACTCAAAGACAACATCAGCAGAAAGATTTGTAGCGCACAAGATACTCAGTTGCTCCACGGAACCCTAAAGTGATAAAACAAATTACTGTCAAAAAATAATTGGAATTTTCAGAACAGACTGCAAGAACAGTGTCAATACGCACAAACTTTTACCAAATGGAGATCCTCTAAACGCAAACAAGTGTAAACTAGGTGAAGAATTCATGCCGCACATCTTAACGACACCTTAGTATGACCTTCAAATGCAGAGAAGGGCATTGTCACCTATTCTGGTTAAAAAGATAAACCAGTCCAAGACCAGAGAAAGAAAAGACAGTGCTCCCGGTGTCCAAGAGATTAACCACCTCGAAAATAGATTCTGAGGAGGGAATGAAGGGGAGTGAGGATAACAGTGACATTCTGATGACCTTCAATAAGGAA